ACGTATTGCATTAACACATGTTTTGCTATACACATGTTTATATTCCCTTTGTGTGTATTGGGACAAAACAAAAAAAGGGAGGAAAGAAAGCAAATTCGACATATTGTCACACAAACCTCCAAAAATGGGCTGGACAAAAGTATTGGCACCCTTTCACAACTGCGGATAAATAAGAATGTTACAAGCATGTGATGCTCCTGTAAACTCACCTGGGGCAAGTAACAGGTGTGGGCAATATAGAAATCACACCTGAAAGCAGATAAAAAGGAGAGACGTTCACTTAACCTTTGCATTGTGTGTCTGTCTGTGCCACACTAAGCATGGACAACAGAAAGAGGAGACGAGAACTGTCTGAGGACCTGAGAACCAAAATTGTGGCAAAATATCAACAATCTCAAGGTTACAAGTCCATCTCCAGAGAACTAGATTTGCCTTTGTCCACAGTGCGCAACATTATCAAGAAGTTTGCAACCCATGGCACTGTAGCTAATCTCCCTCCCTGTCGTGGACGGATGAGGAAAATTGATGAAAGATTGCAACGCAGAATAGTCCGGATGGTGGATAAGCAGCCCCAAACATGTTCCAAAGACATTCAAGCTGTCCTGCAGGCTCAGGGAGCATCAGTGTCAGCGCGAACTATCCGTCGACATTTAAATGAAATGAAACGCTATGGCAGGAGACCCAGGAGGACCCCACTGCTGACACAGAGACATAAAAAAGCAAAGACTACAGTTTGCCAAAATGTACTTGAGTAAGCCAAAAGCCTTCTGGGAAAACGTCTTGTGGACAGATGAGACCAAGATAGAGCTTTTCGGTAAAGCACATCATTCTACTGTTTACCGAAAACGGAATGAGGCCTACAAAGAACAAAACACAGTACCTACGGTAAAATATGGTGGAGGTTCAATGATGTTTTGGGGTTGTTTTGCTGCCTCTGGCACTGGGTGCCTTGACTGTGTGCAAGGCATCATGAAATCTGAGGATTACCAAAGGATTTTGGGTCGCACTGTAGGGCCCAGTGTCAGAAAGCTGGGTTTGCGTCCAAGATCCTGGGTCTTCCAGCAGGACAATGACCCCAAACATACGTCAAAAAGCACTCAGAAATGGATGGCAAAGAAGCGCTGGAGAGTTCTGAAGTGGCCAGCAATGAGCCCAGATCTAAATCCCATTGAACACCTGTGGAGAGATCTTAAAATTGCTGTTGGGGAAAAGGTGTCCTTCCAATAAGAGAGACCTGGAGCTGTTTGCAAAGGAAGAGTGGTCCAAAATTCCGGGTGAGAGGTGTCAGAAGCTTATTGATGGTTATAGGAAGCGACTGATTTCAGTTATGTTTTCCAAAGGGTGTGCAACCAAATATTAAGTTAAGGGTGCCAATACTTTTGTCCAGCCCATTTTTGGGGTTTTGTGTGACATTATGTCATATTTGCTTTTCTGCCTCTGTTTTATATTTGTTCCAATACATACAAAGGGAAATAAACATGTGTATAGCAAAACATGTGTTAATGCAATACCTTTTTTGTGTGAAATACTTGATTTTCAGGAAAAATATCAAGGGTGCCAACAATTTCGGCCATGACTGTATATATATATATATAGTATGTGTGTGTGTGTGTGTGTGTGTGTGTGTGTGTGTGTGTGTGTGTGTGTGTGTGTGTGTGTGTGTGTGTGTGTGCAGCACTTCTCCCGTAGGAGTAACTGGATACTGTCTAGGTCCAAACTTTGTCCCGCAGCCAGACACAAGGTATTTTCTACAGCCAGGTACACACACACTTTTGCTCGTTGTCTTCAATGATCAGTCTAGGTGTGTTGTTTTTGTAGTTTATTTCAGAAATTGGGTAGGGATGGGGAATGAGTGGGATACTCCAAGAATAGAACTATACACAAGGAGGGCTCTACTTGATCTCTTAGGCAAGCTTTAGGGGACGTTCATGCTGGAAGCCGGTAAAATGTATCTCCTTTGAAGCAGCAATAACAGTAACTTCAGGTTAGAGCAAAGTCCCCTGCAGCAAAGAGTAAATGGACAAAGCTTTTTGTAACACTAGTCAGTGTTCCCTTGTCTGGACCCTTAGCTAGCTATATAACACACCACAGGGGGGGTTAACAGCATTAGTCTGATATCCTTAGGGTGTCTGTACTCACAAGGCCACAAGAACAGTAGCCCCTTCTTCGTGATACCATACCAGATCCTCAGCAAACACCCTCTTAGCCAGCTTACTGAAGAACCAGGGTCACTCTCTCTCTCTTGCTTCAGGCCCCAGGTCGCCCACCTGAGGCTACATGGCAGCAGGCTGGTGCAATCCTCTCCAGGAAAGATCCTGGACTCCGTATGCCCAAAAAATAAATACCCTCTCTCAGCATCTTTCAGGGCTACACTCCCTGGGATTGGCTGAAGCAGCATTAATAATCATATCGTATTCTGCAAGAGTTCCACGTATGCATCCAGAACCTTTCCAGGTTACTTGGATACAGAGGAAGTCCAGGGCAGAGCTAGCAGCACTTGAACACACTGAGCAGGCATCACTAAATGATTGCAGCTCTCTGTTAAGCAGAAAGCCTGATTAGATTTTTCTAACAGTTCTCCTGTTAAGCAGAGGAACCAACTATATATATACTGTATATATATATATACATATATATATATATATATATATATATATATATATATATATATATATATACACACGCACACATGAGCACACCCCATGCTGGAAAATTGCTGAGTTCAACAAATCTGAAACAGCAAACATTAGACCTACTATGAAAGAGGGCCTTCAGAAATAAATATTATACTTGGCCAAATAAAACATAAATGCGACATGGTGTATTTATTCTCATAATCTAAATGAACTTAAATACCGATATGTCACATGAAAAATGGTGAGTAGACCCCAATGTTTACCACTACTTGAAAGCCATGAAATTAGAATCAGGTATTTCAGGCTAGGTGCCAATGTCTAGTACTTCCTTAGGGAGTATGTAGGTGAAACCTGTCTTACTTAAATCACATTTATCTAGGGTCTGGTGTTCCCTTTGCTTTTGACATGTGTGGTGTCATCACACCAAGATCAATAAGTCCTTGAATCTCTTTGTATGTAACCAGAGGGTCCATCACATTCGGTATCAATCATTAATGGTCTTTTCCTGTCAATGATCTATTCTTCGACCCCTGTATATCTTTCAGAGTTGAAAAACGAACTTGAGTGCACCTTCTCAGAGAAGGATAAATCCAAGTCCTATATTTTAATCACACAAATTCTCTATAGCCAGCATAGCACATAAAAGCAATTTCAAAATTCACGTCAGATGGTATCACTGTCCTCCCTCACTTACCATACCAAACTTTTGCCCCTGCCATTTGCTGGCGTTGTCTATCCCACACATTTGGTGGGAATGTCTACCATTGAAACACTTCTGGGATGTAGTCTTTAGCGCATATACAGTACATATGACCTCAAATGTAGTCCCTAGAAGTACACAGATATCCCTCTTATCTATGATTCCTGGTTCCCTATGCTCGACAAAGAAAGAGTCTCTTGCACTTTTCTCATAGCAGCAAGAGCTGTAGTAACCAGATATTGAAAATAACAATACCCCCAACTGCGAAAGAACCGATTGATGAAATATATCTTTTAGTGCAGTTGGAAGAAATAACAGCACAACTGTATGACAAATACTCAACTACATGGCTTCCCTGGATACTTTTACCTTAGCCCTGACTTTTGTACTTTATTAGCCTGATGAACCCCATGTCAGTAATCCCATGGACAACTACAGACACTGGTAAAGCTCTTATATGAACAGTAAACGTCTGAACACATCTTAATCTCTATATCTCCTATTTCTCCACTCCCTTTTATACTCTTTCTTACCCTCTCCCCCATTTTTCTTTCTCAAATTTATTTAGGCCCTACTTTTATAACATGATATCATCAATATTTTTGTTTTATTCCTGGACAGAGTCCCACCTGTTTTCTACTGGTCCTCTTGATTGGTCTGTATATGTTTGATATTGAAATCTTCAAAAAAAATTTTAATTAAAAAAAAAAAAAAAATCAACAAGTCCTAAAGAAAAAAAGTTATAAATGTCTATGAGTTTGACAGGGGATTTAAAAAGATCATCAGATTATTTGAAATCAATCATTTCACCATATGGAAAATAAGTGGTGTAGGTTTTAATGACTGCTAATTTGATTATGACAGGATGCTCCAGAAATTTCAGACCAACAGCTGACTGATGCTAAAAGAAGTCTCCAAGTGCCAAGTGATAAAATTGTTACGGGAGTGACTTTGGCTGGGGGTCCCAAGGAACACAGCTCACTTTAGAGAGGTGGGGAGACCCCTGTCTCAGCTCCCCATATCCCTCTTATGTGTAAGTCACCCTGTACCTGTTAGGGGTGCAGGGTGAAATGTCCTGATATTGTGTAGACATGTATAGGTGGGGGTTGTTCATTGTTTAATGCCATGTGGCTGTATCCCATTGCTCTATTGTGTGTCTTGCTCGGGAGCAAACTATTATGGGATGTAAATGTTTGTGTACTGGCTTGGTGGGGGGTGTTTCCGGCCGCCCTTCCCCCTGATGAGACTGCCTGCTGATGTGTTTCTTGTTACTGGGTGTGTATTGCCCCGCCCTGTGTATATATCTTGTATCTACGTTAAAATAATGCAGTCTAATTCCTGGTTTGCCTTCAAGAGTAGTGTCCATGGTCTTTCTTCGGACAGGGAAGCGGGAGTCTAACGGAAATACCCTAGTGCAGTCAGGGTCCGGTTCCGTTACATTGGTGGCAAGCGGTGGGATTGTGCTTCCAAGCTGTGAACAAACCACCACCGGGATTCAAGATGAGGAAAGTAGATGTCGGTCACTCCAGTGGAGATAAAGACCTGGTGTCAGAGTTCCCAGGGCTGCTGCGGATTGTTCTTGCAGCATACCCCAGGACTGTGTCTGCGGATGAGTACCTGGAGCTCAGGCAGCGGATTCGAGTGCTGCTGTGGAGTGGAGCCCTCCAGGTTGCTGGTATGTACAAGGGCAAGTGCTATACAACCCCAGGGGAACAGGCCAGGGACCATCGGATGTTACGGATGCCATTCCTGGGAGAGCGACCCCAGGAGCAATGGGTGACTGAGTTGGACAGGCTGGTCCAGCAGGAGATAGAGCTGGACAACAGATATCGGGCTCTGCAATGGTATGCAGAGCAGAAATATTTAGGGGTGACAACAGAATGCTCTCCGGAGGGATATGACTTTGCTGGCCCTGGATTGCTGTGGGAGAGCCTTACAGATCTTTTTGTGTTTGGCGATGAAGGAGAACCTACACTTGAGGACCTGTGAGAAGACTATGTTCAGTCTCACAGGGGTCTCAGAGCTTGAACCAGATCTGGAATACCTGCTTATGAAAGAACAGCATCTGGAAAGGACATACAGGCAACTGCTAAAACATGTCCAGCAGCATGCCCAAGAATCAGATTGCTGTCCCCAAACCTGAAGTGCCCAGAACTGGTAACATCTTCTGGGTTCCACGGACAGGAGATGGTGAACCCCTATCCCCAGACACCAGTTCCAGAGACTGGGGCTTTGATTAACTTTTCTGCTGAGGAGGAACCAGCCGGTGCGCCTCCAGCAGAAGAGCTGGCAACAGGGCCAAATATTGCTGAATGACTCTGCCCAGCACCAGTTCCAGAGACTGGGGCTTTGATTAACTTTTGTGCTGAGGGGGAACCAGCCGGTGCGCCTCCAGCAGAAGAGCTGGCAACAGGGCCAAATATTGCTGAACTCTGCCCAGCACTGGTAACATCTTAAGAGTTCCACGGACAGGAGATGGTGAAACCCTATCCCCAGACACCAGTTCCAGGGACTGGAGATTTGATTGACTTTTGTGCTGAGGAGGAACCAGCCGGCGAGCCTCCAGCAGAAGAGCTGGCCTCAGGGCATGGCGTTGTTGACCTCTGCCCACAACAATCAGCACCGCAGGAGCTACAGGAAGAGGATGCAATCGGCACCTCACATCGGCAGCTTGAGCTGATGTCTGTGGATGGGACTTCGATCTCCATTGAAACAAACAAAAGGGTCTGGCATGGGGACAGGAGGATGTCAGCCTTACTTGAGAGGACTTCAGGGAGAAGGACCAGTCCGTACTTCTCCCCAGGGGCGGATGTGTTCTACGAGAGAGGCAGAGGTTGGCTGGGTGAGTAATACTATGTTTGGGACAATTTGTTTGGGGTACTGTGTGGGTGATGGCATTGGGGACTGGAAGTACAGACTAGCTTCGAATAATCCATACATATTAACTACTTAAGGTGAAGTTTTTTTTGTAAAGTGATTTTTTTTCCCCTAAAATAACAAGCATGTCATACTTACCTGCTCTGTGTAATGGTTTTGCACAGAGCAGCCCAGATCCTCCTCCTCTGGGGTTCCTCACTGGCTTTCTTGTCTTCCCCCCTGCTTCCTATGGTGGCACTCATGTGTGCTCGATCCTGAACAGGGCTGTTTGTGTCTATTGAGACATATACAGGTGAAACTCGAAAAATTAGAATATCGTGCAAAAGTTCATTGATTTCAGTAATGCAACTTAAAAGGTGAAACTAATATATGAGATAGACTCATTACATGCACAGCAAGATAGTTCAAGCCGTGATTTGTCATAATTGTGATGATGATGATTATGGCTTACAACTCATGAAAACCCCAAATTCACAATCTCAGAAAATTAGAATATTGTGAAAAGGTGCAATATTCTTGGCTCAAAGTGTCCCACTCTAATCAGCTAATTAAGCCAGAACACCTGCAAAGGGTTCCTGAGCCTTTAAATGGTCTCTCGGTCTGGTTCAGTAGGAATCACAATCATGGAAAAGACTGGTGACCTGACAGTTGTGCAGAAAACCATCATTGACACCCTCCATAAGGAGGGAAAGCCTCAAAAGGTAATTGAAAAAGAAGTTGGATGTTCCCAAAGTGCTGTATCAAAGCACATTAATAGAAAGTTATGTGGAAGGGAAAAGTGTGGAAGAAAAAGGTGCACAAGCAGCAGGGATGACCGCAGCCTGGAGAGGACTGTCATGAAAAGGCCATTCAAAAGTGTTGGGGACTTTCACAAGGAGTGGACTGAGGCTGGAGTCAGTGTATCAAGAGCACACCACACACAGATGGATCCTGGACATGGGCTTCAAATGTCGTATTCCTCTTGTCAAGCCACTCCTGAACAACAAACAACGTCAGAAGCGTCTTACCTGGGCTAAAGAAAAACATACCTGGTCTGTTGCTCAGTGGTCCAAAGTCCTCTTTTCTGATGAGAGCAACTTTTTCATCTCATTTGGAAACCAAGGACCCAGAGTATGGAGGAAGAATGGAGAAGCACACACTGCAAGATGCTTGAAGTCCAGTGTGAAGTTCCACAGTCTGTGTTGATTTGGGGAGCCATGTCATCTGCTGGTGTTGGTCCACTGTGCTTCATTAAGTCCAGGGTCAACGCAGCCGTCTACCAGGAGATTTTGCAGCACTTCATGCTTCCTTCTGCAGATGAGCTTTATGGGGATGCTGACTTCATTTTCCAGCAGGACTTGGCATGTGCCCACACTGCCAAAAGCACCAAAACCTGGTTCAATGACTGTGGGATTACTGTGCTTGATTGGCTAGCAAACTCGCCTGACCTGAACCCCATGGAGAATCTATGGGGCATTGCCAAGAGAAAGATGAGAGACATGAGACTGAACAATGCAGAAGAGCTGAAGGCCGCTATTGAAGCATCCTGGTCTTCCATAACACCTCAGCAGCGCCACAGGCTGATAGCTTCCATGCCATGCCCAAACCAAGTACTGAGTACATATGCATGCTTATACTCTTCAGAGGTCCGATATTGTTCTATGTACAATCCTTGTTTTATTGATTGCATGTAATATTCTAATTTTCTGAGATTGTGGATTTGGGGTTTTCATGAGCTGTAAGCCATAATCATCACAATTATGACAAATCACGGCTTGAACTCTCTTGCTTTGCATGTAATGAGTCTATCTCATATATTAGTTTCACCTTTTAAATTGCATTACTGAAATAAATGAACTTTTGCATGATATTCTAATTTTTTTCGAGTTTCACCTGTAGTGTACCTCGGCCTCACCCCTCACTCTCTGCTCACAAGCTTTTGACTGACAGCAACAGAAACCAATGGCTCCCGCTGCTATCAGCCAAGCTTGTGAGACAGGGGAGAGGGGAGAAGAGCTGCTGCAAACGTGCACAGTGCTGGATCAAGATAGGGATCAGATAAATATTTGGAGGTGCTTGTGAATGTGTTACTAATAAAAGTTTTTTTACCTTAATGCAGAGAATGCATTAAGGTAATACACTTTTTTATCTTTACAACAAAGATGTCATACTTACCTGCTCTGTGCAATGGTTTTTCACAGAGAAGCCCCAATTCTCCTCTTCTTGGGTCCCCCACCTGTGCTTCTGGGCCTTCCCCCTTGCAGAGTGCCCCCAGAGCAAGCTGTTTGCTCTGGGGCAGTCCTGTGTGCTCGCTTCCGAGCCGGCCCTGTATGTCTATAAGATATACAGGGCATGGCTCGGCCTCGCCCCCTGCTCCCTCCTCACTGGCTGTGATTGACAGAAGCAGGAGCCAATGGCTCCCACTGCTCTGTCTCAGTAAAATGAAGGGAGAGAGACCCGGGAGAGCCGAGGCTCTTGTGCACAGCGCTTGATCACGATCAGGGTCAGGTAAGTTTTAGGGGGGGGCTGAGTGGGTAGCTTCACCCTGAAGTTTTTTCACCTTCATGCATAGAATGTGTGAAAGTAAAAAGCTTCAGCCTTCAGAAGCACTGTAAATTGTTTCTTACTGTGTTTGTCTGCCTTCTTGTAATGTCCTCCATGAACTTTTCCCCCTCCTCACTTGTATATGGATCAAGCAGTGCATGTTAGATGCGGTCATGTGCACTGCTCTATGCACGCTACAAATCCCATAGTCCCTAAACCATTTTGGGAATAAGCAAGAGAGGGTGGCTACACACCTAAATATAGTGGGACCATGGAGAATGAAGGTAGCCACCCTCTAGCAAGAGGCTGGATCACAACAGCAAAAAATAAATGAATACATTAATACTAGAGATGAGCGAATTATTCAAAAATTCGATTCGGCTGATTCGGCGAATTCGTGGAATAAATTCGATTCGAGTCGAATATATTCGCTGCGAATTTAACTTATAAAAAGGGTGTTTCTAGGCTTCAGAGAGCCTTTATATTAGTGCAGAACACTGTACCTTTAATTTAAATGCCCTTGGAGTCTGCTGGGGAAGAGAAATAATACTGTCAGTCAGTATGACATGCAGATGAGTGCCGTCGATCTTAGAATCACCGCACACTTCACTCATTTGGGCAGTCACGGGGCCAAAACCAGAGTGTGGAGCCACAGTGTGGCGGTGGAGGCAGCAGCAATGGGAGGCCATACAGCACCCTATGAAAAAATGGAACCCACCAGCAGTGTGAGGAGACCTGAAAGTGGCACATGGCAGAGTGTGGCGATGGAGACAGCAGCAATGGGAGGCCGTACAGGGACCCATGACACACTCTGGACCTGGCAGCAGCATGAGGAGGTGGTACAGGGGCCCATGACAGATTACGGGCCTGGCAGCAGCATGAGGAGTCGGTACGGGGGCCCATGGCAGATTACGGGCCTGGCAGCAGCAATGGGAGGCCATACAGCACCCTATGACAAAATGGAACCCACCAGCAGTGTGAGGAGACCTGAAAATGGCACATGGCAGAGTGTGGCGATGGAGACAGCAGCAATGGGAGGCCGTACAGGGACCCATGACACACTCTGGACCTGGCAGCAGCATGAGGAGGCGGTACAGGGGCCCATGACAGATTACGGGCCTGGCAGCAGCATGAGGAGTCGGTACGGGGGCCCATGGCAGATTACGGGCCTGGCAGCAGCAATGGGAGGCCGTAATCTGCCAGCACCCTATGACAAAATGGAACCCACCAGCAGTGTGAGGAGACCTGAAAGTGGCACATGGCAGAGTGTGGCGATGGAGACAGCAGCAATGGGAGGCCGTACAGGGACCCATGACACACTCTGGATCTGGCAGCAGCATGAGGAGGCGGTACAGGGGCCCATGACAGATTACGGGCCTGGCAGCAGCATGAGGAGTCGGTACGGGGGCCCATGGCAGATTACGGGCCTGGCAGCAGCAATGGGAGGCCCGTAATCTGCCAGCACCCTATGACAAAATGGAACCCACCAGCAGTGTGAGGAGACCTGAAAGTGGCACATGGCAGAGTGTGGCGATGGAGACAGCAGCAATGGGAGGCCGTACAGGGACCCATGACACACTCTGGACCTGGCAGCAGCATGAGGAGGCGGTACAGGGGCCCATGACAGATTACGGGGCCTGGCAGCAGCATGAGGAGTCGGTACGGGGGCCCATGGCAGATTACGTGGCCTGGCAGCAGCAAGGCGCATGGGAGACCGTACAGGGACCCATGACACACTCTGGACCTGGCAGCAGCAAGAGGAGGCGGTACAGGGGCCCATGGCAGAGTGGCGAAGCGTAAGCAGCTTAAATTGAAGGCCATACAGAGGCCTATGTTAAAAATAATAACATGTTTGGGGCATGATTCATGGCGGATTTAGTCAGTTGTGTCAGGAACTGGTGGTTTGAAATCCAGACTAATCCACGCCTGATTCATTTTCACAAACGTGAGTCTCTCCACACTTTGGGTGGACAGTCGTGTCCTCCGCGGAGTTACAATACCTCCTGCCGCACTAAACACTTTGCGCTCCGATGCCACGCTACTGGCCGGCATGACAGCCTTTCAAGGGCAAATTCAGCTAGTTGGGGCCACAAAGGTCAAGTTTCGTTGCCAGTAAGTCAAGGGGGATTTGTCTACCTCGGTTGGCAGGGTGCTGTCCAAGTTGGCCCAAGCCTGTTGTTTGAGGTCCTGCTCCAGGTCCACCTGATGCTGCTGCTGCTGCGGCTGGTTAGTAGTTTCCTCACTGCGCTGGTGAAGAAAGCTACTCATCATCGACTGCAGACTGAGGCAGCCGCTGCTGGTGGAGCTGCCACTGCTCCTACCACCCCACCCCTCCCCTGCTGCCATGGCAGCGGAACGCGAGCGCACAGGGCCCACAGTGTCTGAGGATGGACGTTGGCGCAGAAAGGCAGAGACCAGCTGACTACATAGGTGGTTTTTTTATAGTATGTTATTTTGGCCTCCCTCTCAGCAGGTGTGAAAAAAAGCGAGGCGTCTACAAGGGCCACCATTTTGAACGGTAGCGAGGGTCAACCAGCAACAAGGTGGACAGCCAAAAGTCATCCCTCTGTCCCTGATGGTTATTATTCGGCTGTCGCTACCACGCAACCCGCTGAGAACCGACATGCTATGAGCCATGTTGTGCCATGCCAACTAACAGTGTGTCTGACGTACCCACCGACTGTTGGCTGTAGGTGTCAGAGGGTGACCTGACTCAAATTAGCGGTGGCCGGAAGAGGAAGAGACTGCCACCGAGCCAACCAATCGATTGACGGCAGGTGTTGTCGGTGGAGACACGACCGCTGGATGACACCGGGAAGCACTAGGCCTCTGGCTGCGACTAGTGCTGCCTCGACCCGACCCCTTTACCTCTGCTGCCACGTCTGCTCGCTCCTGAAACATTGCCTCCTCTGCCACTCCTCTGCGTGTTGTCTGACATACTCTTTAATTCAACGATTCTGTGTCCCTGAGTAACGATTCTGTGTCCCTGAGTAACAATTCTGGGTCCCTGTAACGATTCTGTGTCCCTGAGTGGTAGAGGGGACAATTCTGTGTCCCAAAGAGTAACAATTTCTGTGTCCACCAGTAACGATTCTGTGTCCCTCAGTAACAATTCTGTGTCCCTCAGTAACAATTCATGTGTCCCTGAGTAACAATTCTGTGTCCCTCAGTAAACAATTCTGTGTCCCCTCGAGAGTAACGATTCTGTGTCCCTCAGTAACGATTCTGTGTCCTCTGAGTAACGATTCTGTGTCCCTGTAGTAACAATCTGTGTCCCTTGAGTAACGATTCTGTGTCCCTCAGTAACGATTCTGTGTCCCTGAGTAACACATTCTGTGTCCCTGAGTAACAATTCTGTGTCCCTCAGTAACGATTCTGTGTCCCTCAGTAACGATTCTGTGTCCCTGAGTAACGATTCTGTTGTCCCTGAGTAACGATTCTGTGTCCCTGAGTAACGATTCTGTGTCCCTGAGTAACGATTCTGTGTCCCTCAGTAACGATTCTGTGTCCCTGAGTAACGATTCTGTGTCCTGAGTAACAATTCTGTGTCCGGGCCCGAGTAACGATTCTGTGTCCCTGAGTAACAATTCTGTGTCCCTCAGTAACGATTCTGTGTCCCTCAGTAACGATTCTGTGTCCCTGAGTAACAATTCTGTGTCCCTGAGTAACAATTCTGTGTCCCTCAGTAACGATTCTGTGTCCCTCAGTAACGAATTCTGTGTCCCTGAGTAACAATTCTGTGTCCCTGAGTAACAATTCTGTGTCCCTGAGTAACGATTCTGTGTCCCACAGTAACAATTCTGTGTCCCTGAGTAACAATTCTGTGTCCCTGAGTAACAATTCTGTGTCTGTCCCTGAGTAACGATTCTGTGTCCCTCAGTAACGATTCTGTGTCCCTGAGTAACAATTCTGTGTCCCTGAGTAACAATTCTGTGTCTGTCCCTGAGTAACAATTCTGTGTCCCTGAGTAACAATTCTGTGTCCCTCAGTAACGATTCTGTGTCCCTGAGTAACAATTCTGTGTCCCTGAGTAACAATTCTGTGTCCCTGAGTAACAATTCTGTGTCCCTCCTGTGTCCTGATGAGTAACAATTCTGTCCCTGAGTAACAATTCTGTGTCCCTGAGTAACAGTTCTGTGTGATGTCCCTGAGTAACAATTCTGTGTCCCTGAGTAACAATTCTGTGTCCCTGAGTAACAATTCTGTGTCCCCTGAGTAACAATTCTGTGTCCCTCAGTAACAATTCTGTGTCCCTCAGTAACGATTCTGTGTCCCTGAGTAACAATTCTGTGTCCCTGAGTAACAATTCTGTGTCCCTGAGTAACGATTCTGTGTCCCTGAGTAACAATTCTGTGTCCCTGAGTAACGATTCTGTGTCCCTGAGTAACGATTCTGTGTCCCTGAGTAGTAACAATTCTGTGTCCCTGAGTAGTAACGATTCTGTGTCCCTCAGTAACAATTCTGTGTCCCTGAGTAACAATTCTGTGTCCCTGAGTAACAATTCTGTGTCCCTGAGTAACATTCTGTGTCCCTGAGTAACAATTCTGTGTCCCTGAGTAACGATTCTGTGTGTGTCCCTCAGTAACAATTCTGTGTCCCTGAGTAACAATTCTGTGTGAGTAACGATTCTGTGTCCCTCAGTAACAATTCTGTTCCTGTAACAATTCTGTGTCCCTGAGTAACAATTCTGTGTCTGTCCCTGAGTAACAATTCTGTGTCCCTGAGTATCAATTCTGTGTCCCTGAGTAACAATTCTGTGTCCCTGAGTAACGATTCTGTGTCCCTGAGTAACAATTCTGTGTCCCTGAGTAACGATTCTGTGTCCCTCAGTAACAATTCTGTGTCCCTGAGTAACGATTCTGTGTCCCTGAGTAACGATTCTGTGTCCCTGAGTAACAATTCTGTGTCCCTGAGTAACGATTCTGTGTCCCTAAGTAACGATTCTGAGTCCCTACGTAACGATTCTGTGGCCCTAAAGTCTCTGTGGCCCTAGCTCTGTCCCTAATACAGAGCGGTCTGTCTCTCTTGAATGACCGGAGGCTAATGGAGAATTCTAAGATGGCCGCAATTTATAGCTCCACCATTACACAGTGCTGGCTGGCTGGCTGCTGATTGGCTAATGCGATCACATGTCATGAATGAATGCATTATGAGTCAGCGCGCCTTGTCTGCGCGCCTTCCCAGAGATCCCCGCTCCGTCGCCACACATGTCGCCGCCATTTTTGGGAAAATTCGATTCGTGCATCCGAAGTTTGCTAATTTTCGGGATTCGGCGCGAATCAAATTTTTCCTGATCTTCGAAACGAATTCCACTTTGCCATGTTCGATTCGCTCATCTCTAATTAATACATGTGGAAATTGGAGGGAGCTTATTATTATTATATAGGATTTATATAGCGCCAACAGTTTGCTCAGCACTTTACAAAATGAAGGTAGACATTACAGTTACAATACATTTTGGTACAAGAGGGAAGCAGAGGACCCTGCTCGTTAGAGCTTACAATCTAGGAGATAAGAATACAAGAACAGAATACATTTTTTTTAAAATTGTTAAGTGTCACTTTATTGGTTAATCTAGCCTGAACTGCAGGCGTGAGAAAGAGTAGGGATGCTAAAAATGGATACCGAGTACTTAACTTTAACTAGGCCACTCCAAACCTTAATTTTTATTTTTTATTTAGAGCCATTCAGAGGTGGTCTTGCTGACGTGTTTCAGGTCATTGTCCTGCTGCATAACCCAAGCACAAGTGAGCTTGAGGTCACAAACTGTTGGCCAGACATTCTCCTTCAAGATTTTCAGGTAGAGTGCAGAATTCATGGTTGCATCAATTATGATAAGTCGTCCAGGTCATAAAGCTGCAAAGCAGCCCCAGACCATCACACTGCAACCACCATGTTTTACTTTTGGTATGATGTTCTATTTATTAAATGCCGTGTTAGTTTTTGCCAGATGTAACGGGACGCACAAAAAGTTCAACTTTTGTCTCATCAGTCCACAGAATATTTGCCCAAAAGTCTTGGGGATAATCAAGATGTTTTTTGGCAAATGTGAAACAGCCATTGTGTTCTCTTTGGTCAGTAGTAGCCTTTGCTTTCCCAAGGATG